TCTTTAATAAGCGCTTCCTCCGGCCCCGAGGGCGCGGCTGAGTCACGGCCACGGCCGGGACGATCCGCGGAGCCAACGCGGCCTCCCCGCCTGGGGATTAACGCCGGGCACGGAGCCCGTGCCAGCGCGGAGGGGGAGGGAGGGAGGGAGGGAGGCACCGGAGTCCCAGTCCAACCAGTATGGGCAGCCCGCGGGGGGGAGCGCAAACCCCCGGCGGGAACGGGGAGGGAGGGAGGGAAATGCTGGGGATGAGCGGGAGGGGGTCCAGAGGCTGCGGGAGAGGGGGGAGGAGGAAGGGGGAGACGGCGGGACCCGCTGAGGAACGGGGAGAGGAAGTGGGTCTGGAAAACACCCGCAACGGGACGGGGTGGGACCCCCGGGAGCAGCGCGGGCTCCTGGCAGAGGGATGGGGCTCCTCGTGGCATCGCGTCCCACGTGCTCCGTGGGACACCCCAGGGCTCCGTGGGACACCCCAGAGTTCCTGGGACACCCCAGGGCTCCGTGGGACACCCCAGAGCAGGCAGATGGAGCTGAAAACCTGCCTGTGATGGGCTGGGGTCACTTTGTCCCCCCCATGACGCTCCCCCGGGGGGTTGTGCAGAGGCACCGGGGCAAAACCAGCCCCTTGGGCCCCCCTGGCCTTCATCCCAACCCTCATCCTTCGTCCCAGTTCTTACCTTCCATCCCAACCCTCTCCCTCCCCCCGTTCCACTCCTCATCCCCCGGGAAAGGAGCTCCACAACCCGAGGGGGGCTCAGAGGGGGAAGGAAACGCCGGGAAAAAAAGGGGGATTTGGGTGGGAAAACAGAGGCAGCGAACGGGGAGAGCCCAGAGCAGGGAGGGGCTCAGGGGGGAGAAAGGGATTTTGGGAGCTTTCCAAAGGGGAGAGGGAGAATTCCCTTCCTTCCAGAGGAGCTCAAGCAGTGCCTGGGGGGGTGGGGGGTGGTCAGGGCGCTCCGGGGGGCGTGTTTTCCCCTCATTTCCCCCCCGAAAACCATCCCAGAGCCCCAGAGAGACCCCGGGGGGGTGTTTAATGGCCCCTCTCGTGCCTCGCAGCTCAACAACAACACGACGGCGGGGCAGGCGCTGGTGGTGGAGATCATCCTGACCTTCCAGCTCGCCGCCTGCATCTTCGCCTCCACCGACAACAGGAGGAGCGGCGTGGGCTCCCCCGCCATCTCCATCGGCCTCTCCGTCACCGTCGGGCACCTCGTGGGGGTCAGTGGGGGTCCCAAAAATCCGCCCCAGGCACGACGCGGGGCGTCCCCTCCTCGCTGCGAAGGGGGGAAGGTCCCCAAAAAATCCTGCCGGGTGGTCGCCGGGAGGGACAAACACGCGGGGAGTCCCCTCCTGCCTGGGGGTCCCCAAAATCCTCCCGGGAGGGAAAACAACACGAGGTGCCTCCTCCTCGCTATGAGGGGTGGGTGTCCCAAAAAATCCTGCCGGGTGGTCGCCGGGAGGGACAAAACAACGCGGGGTGTCCCCTCCTGGTTGGGGGGTCCCCAAAATCGTCCCAGGTGGTCGCCGGGAGGGACAAAACAAGGCGGGGTGTCCCCTCCTCGCTGGGATGGAGGGGAGGGGCCGTTCCAGCCCCGGAATCCCAAAGGTTTGGTCCCGTCTGCGCCTCAGGACGGTGTCGTTTGTGTGTCCCTCCCCTTCCCCCCCTCCCCCGTGACAGATTTACTTCACCGGCTGCTCCATGAACCCCGCGCGCTCCTTCGGCCCCGCCGTCATCGTCAGCAGGTTCGACCCCACGCACTGGGTGAGTGCTGGGGGGGCTCGGGGGGGGCTCTGACAGGGCAGGGGGGGCAGAGAAATGGGGATCCCAGACCCACCCCGGGCCGGGAAGGAGCGGGAGAACCAGGCGGGTTGTCCCCCTGGAGGATTTGGGAACAGTTAAACCCCTCCCCCCCCCCCCCCCCGCGGTGCAGGGAGGGACAGGAATTAACACCCCCGTGGTTAATTAACACCCCCGTGGGGTCCTGGGATGGTTTGGGTTGGAGGGAGCCTGAAATCCCACCCATCCTGCCACGGGCAGGGACACCTCCCACTATCCCAGGGGGATCCAGCTTGGCCTGGGACGCTTCCAGGGCTGGAAAAGGTGCCCAGAGAGCCCCATTTACCCTCTGAGTGCCCTCGGTGCCCCCTCTGAGGGGGGGCAAAGCCCTGCTGCTCTGCCAGCCCTGCTCTCCCCTGGCCCTGCTGCTCTCCCAGACCTTTCCAACCCCCTGGCCCTGCTCCTCTCCCAAACCTGTCTCCCCCTGTCCTGGTTCCTCTCCCATCTCCCCTGTCCCTCTCCTGTCCCTCTCCCATCTCCCCCATCCTTCTCCCATCTCTCCTATCCCTCTCCCACCTCTCCCATCCCTGTCTCCCCCATCCCTGTCTCTCCTGTCCCTCTCCCACCCCCATCTTACTCACCCCTGTCCTGTCCTTGTTCCTCTCCTGGTTCCTCTCCCAGTACTG